AAAGAAGGCTCAGTACCACTGGCCCCTGGGGAGTAAGTGGGCTGCATTGCAGGACGTGGAAGGACAGGACTGAGTCACCTCTCCACCTCTCTCCTTGGCAGCACCTACAGCTACCTAGCTGCAAAGCTGAGGAGATGATCGTGTTGCTCTCAAGGAGGTTGAACGGCCCTAACACAGAGCACAGCTCTTCCATGGAAGGGACAACTTCTGACAAAACCTAGCAGCACAGGTGCACCCTCTGATTTACCACACACCTGCACTGCCTGTTTTCGCTGAAAGGGAAAAATTGTGAAGTCCCATGTCTTGCTCTAATCTTGTCCCAGTCCAAGGGTTACCACCAGTCTGGGATATGAAATAAAATGCCTATTACATGGGCTAGGCAGGCAGGTCTGTGCATCACGGGATAGGCCTGTATGGAATAGGAGAGCACACCACTGCTGGGCAAACACAGCTATTGCTCAGCAGAGCAGTTGAGACTGAGGTGCACACACACTGTGCATTCAGGAGAGGTGAGACCGTACTTACCCTGCACACGTGAAGCAGCAGGAAACGCACCCTAGAACACAGCTGTGTGCACAAAATGCTTGGAGAGCAGCCAGCGTGCCCTCAGTTAGATATGTCTGTTTCTCGTCTACAGGCACAAGTATGAATTCCTGCACAGCGGGATGACGCCAGACATCAGAATTACTATTCCCCCCAGACGGATTGGCATCCTGCTAGACTATGAGAACTGCAAACTCTCCTTTTTCAATGCAGATATTGCCCAGCACCTTTACACGTTCAAGTCACACTTCCAGCATTTCGTCCACCCCTGCTTTGCTTTGGAAACACCTGGTATCCTACGGATTCATAATGGCATTGCGGTGCCCTTGTGCACTGCTTTCCCGTAACCTTGTGTTCTGCAACTGCAGCATCCCCACATAACTTACTTTGAGAAAAGCCCTCTCTCATCATTATTGGCTCCATCGTGCTCTTTATATACCAGCTTTCTCCCATGAAAGGTAGTAAAACTTCCCTGGTCCAAAGAAGCTGCCAAGCCTGAGCCCTTAGACCCTTAGAGTTTCTCTTCTCTTAAGCAGGATCTCAGCAGAGAAGCACTACAGCCGTAAAACCCATCAGCATCCTGGGCCTGTTCTCAGAATTCTCCGCAGTTAGAAATGGATACCATCCCTCTCAGAGGTGACGCTACCACCAAGCAGCAGTGACAGCTGGATTACTGCTTCCCCTAGTACCCATTTTATGCCTAGGGAACTCCCCTGTTCCTAAGCAATCATTAATTCCACTCTTGTGTCTGCTGAAGAGCTAAAAAGTCGAAGAAAAACAAAAATAGCAGACAGCATAATCACTGTACTGCTGCTAAGACAGAGCTGAAAACACTCCAACCATGAAGCTGAACTCACAATCAAGCATTCTTGTTGCTACATGAAGTCTGTGACACAAGATGATCAAATACACCTCCCTTGTGTGAAACTGTTAGCTCGTACCTTGCACTCTGAGGCTTTTTGAAATAAGCATTCACTATAATCTTAAATATTAAACGACATTTTTTACAAAATGCCCATGCTTTTCTTTCATTCATCCAGGGGAAAAAAACAAAACAAAAACCAACGGTCCAAGGCCTTTTGCAGTGCTTGGCTGCCCACGTACAGAAGTCTCAAGCATCACGTTTAGCTTTTCTTCTCAGCCACACTCACATCTACCTGGGTATGTCTTCAGCACCCGCAACTTACAAACCTCTTCTTCTCCCCCTCAGCACTGGGGAATCCTCACCTCCGATGCTGTGTCCTTGAAGCTGAGGGTCTCCAACGTGGCCCGGAAATACCCTAGCCAAACGCTCAGCTGAAGTGTCCTTGTTCAGACTTAATTTTGGGACATCAGACAAACGGACTAGCATTGCCTGTCAGGCAGGCTTATCTAGCTTTAAATAGCCTCATTCGTATTTGTTAAAACTACCTGAATTCAATGAAGAGTCATTAACAGAGAAGCTTTTCCACAGATTTATTACACATTTATAATAAAAATCATTGGTTCGAGTTTCCATTCTAGAGGATAGTCAGGAACAGGGAGACTACAATATACACGGTCCCTACGAATAAACAAAGCCTGACAATACGTAAGAGATTTGATGTAGAACTGTGTGCCAAAAGCTTGTCTGTTCTTCCCCAAATGACCTTAAAAGAAGGGGAGGGGAACAGATCTCCCTGAAAACCTCCTCAGGCTTTAAGGAAACTATGCAAACAGGAACTGAATCTGTCATTATGGCAGTGATTACTCCTATCTTCTCTTGTGTATTGATTTGTTTTACAAGGCTCAAAAAAAAAGAAGGGTTTAACACCACTGAGCTATGCAAGTACATCATCATTCCTTAGCCTACCAGGAATTCACAGATTTCCACAGCAGAAAGGGCTGCTATGGTCCTCTGGTCAGACCTCCCATAAGGCAATTCAGAGAATTTCAGTTGCCGTGCCTTACAGTGAGCACAACAGCTGGTGTCTTGCCACAAACAAGTGTCTTAGCAGGCAACCATGGCCAACGCATAGCGTGTGAGGAGGCAGAGCCCTGCTGACACTGGCAAGGCTGTACCAGAGAACGGCAGGCAGCTAAGGCGTACAGCTCCTCTGCCAGGGTATGAGCGAGTGATGACAACACCACACCCCAAGTTGTTTTAGAGCCTGATTTTATTTGATTAAAAATGTATGCCTTGATTCAAGGTCCAGCTTCCACCCAATGAAGCAGGTTTTACCTTTATCTGCTGAATCACGTTCCTGCTCTTCTTTACAGGTAGAGAAAAACACCTGAAAGAAGCAAGACATACACATATCAGAGCAGAAGTATTAGGAAGACTAAATCCCCCAAGGAAGCCCTTAAGGGAGAAGGACTGCTAGATGGACCAGACGATTCTGGTACAGATATATATATTCCTTTGTGAACAGCTCCATGTGACACCACTCCTCACCAAGAGCTTTCCCCACAAAGGGTTTAATCCATACCCATATTCTGGCACTTGGATTAGCTGTTTGCCTCAGATGTTACACGAACTCGGTCCAAAAGATTTTCCAGCTGGTGAACTCTCCTGGGGGTCCCCAGGACTTCAGAACCATTTCTTAGGAGTGCTGCAAGGACGGATTCACCGAGCCAACTGTGAGATGCTCTGACACTGTAGGAGTGGGACTCTGCAACAGGTACCAAACCTCAGTCATTACACTGCCAACTTGATGAATCTGCTGCACACCGCAAGCCTGATGGCTGGGTACGGAGTGGCCTGCTGAGGAGAATGTGGCCATTGCTCGAGACTGTATACAGCACTGCTAAGGCAGCAACAGAAATACCTGAAAAAAAAGAACAAATAAACAATAATTAGCTACCAGGTCAAAAACAATATGGAAAATGAGTCTGCCATGGTTTTGTTTAATAAAAGCTTCACCTGTCAGGTATAACCCAGGCATTTCCTCCCTTCGGAACCCCAACCCTGTCACTTAAAATATTCATACAACAAAGTAAAAAGCATAAACCACCTGAATTTTTTTTAAAACCAGCTGTCACTGCGAATTACCTTCACATAAATCCTTTACAAGGAGGCCACCATTTCCATTACACAGTCTATTGATCAGACCAGTATGGCACCCAACTCGCATCAACTTTGTATTTCTGCATAAACCCACCAGATAGGTGGAAGTGCAGTACATCTGTAAAACTGCCAGTAAGGGCCAAACCCTATACAGAACTGGAAGCCGTTATCTGACAGCAGCAGGGAGTCTCATACTGAAGTCAGAGGACATTAACAGGTCCAATATAGTACCACAGAGCAGACTAACGCCAACTGCATTTGGTTTAATTGGAATCCAAGGTAGAAGGATGCTTATCTTGGAGAACTGTGCTGAGTTATTGATCTGAGAGCTATTCCCTTTCACCAAAAGGTGTCTTACATAAAGAAAGAAACAGCTCTCCTCTGTGGCTTGGCTACAGGAACTTTGGCTCACTGCTGAAGCAGATCATGCAGAAGGGCAACAGTCAGTTTAAAACAAGTTACCCTTGTTTCTGACAGCGAGTTACGTGCTGTGGGACATATTTTTCCCCGATATCTGCTAGCATTTTTCTTCTCTTCCTTTCACTATGTGCATCTACTGGCATACAACCAAATTCATCCTCAGTGAAGGACAGAGGCTCGTACCTAAAGCCCGAACTTTGGCAACCTAAACCCCACACGCTGTCCTGATTTGCAGCAATGGTCTATGTGTCCTTGCAGAGCTTGAAGTAGCAGGGAACTGCAAAAGGATGGGATACACCAACCATGCCTTGCCCGAGAGCTAACTGGGTACTTGGCCAGGGCTGCCCAGAGGCCCTTGAGCTTACAAGGAGTCACCCTCAAACCCATTTATGGAGGCACAAAAAGACCAAAAGGCATTGCTGACCTAGACTTCTGCAGGTAGTGAGAACCACCATTTGGTTTGCAGCAGGCTTCTGTGCAGAACAGAGGGCAAAGCAGAAAAACTGTAATAAAAATCACAAGCCTGGCTGGAAGGACCAAGAGACAGAGACAGCATCTGAGATGCTGCTCCAAGCTGCCAGCATCTCTTGAAATCAGAGGTGGCTGGAGTCATTCTCCCACTGAGCACACAGTATTTTCTGCGATGACCTGAGAGCTAAATCAGTGGTAGGATTCTGCAGGAAATAACAATTTCTCTTTTCTGGACTGCTTTTTTTTCTTCAAGGTACCTTGCTCTCCCCAAATCCTGTGCTGCATTGCATTTGTGTTATCACATGTGGCACACCAGGGGCTATGAACCAAGTATCAGGAGTTTCAGCCACTGCTGCAATCAGCAGTGTCTCCCTCCTCCATGAAGGGCCACATGTTCCAAAGCCCAAGGTACCTTGTGTCTAGGGATATCAAATATTTTGGACCATTTTTTCCAACTCCATTCTGTTCTTAGATTTAAAATACCAGTACGCACTGTCGCCACTGGAGGGCAACACATGGCCCTTTCACAAGGCTGCACTGGTTAACAGATGGATTAATAAGACCGTCTGTCTTCTGCACAGGAGCTGTCTATTGCTAAAAAGACATTACTAAGCAGGCAGTTAGTTTCCAAACTGGTTACCGTATTCCTTCATCATGTCCAGCGTCCCTCGTCACTCAGTCCTAGAGCCAGGAACAAAGGAACCTACGGGGCTGAGAACAAACGCACACAGGTGAGACAACATTCAAAGCACAAATGCAACAACAGGCAACATGACAGCCCTAAAAAAGGTTTTAGCGTGTTGTGTTCAGATAGAACACCCCCACCATTTTCTGTAGAAACCATGACCCTTTAACTTGCTCCCTCTAATTGCCACAAAAACCTTGTAGGTAGAGAAAGTAGGTCCTGACTCCATCTCACAGACAGGCCTTGTTCTTCCACCATTTCATTTAGGAGGATGGTATCAGCAGAGTCAATACAACTTCACTGGCTCCACTTTCTTAGTCCTCCAGATGAATCTCCCTAAGCAACTCTTGGGAGGTCTCAGGAACTGATTGTGCTCTCCTGAAGGAGACTTCAGAGTCTAACCACATGGCCTGTCTTCCTTCCCTGGAAAATGATTCCTTGCTCCTTCCCTCAAACTTAGCTGTATTTTTATAACTGCCAATTTCTGTTTTCCAGCAGTAATTGATATTACTCACTAGCACTGCGCAGCAAAGTATCCAGAGACCATGCAAAGGTTGCACTTCGCTCCCCATCTAACCCCAGCTCAGCACCTGGCCCCAACTGACATTTAGTTTTCAGTGAATTGCTCTCTAAAGCCTAAGAGATAATGCTGACTTGTAAGTTTTTGTTAAATTTTCTCTCTGCTGTATTTATGCTGGTGTGGCTCAATTGCTGGTGTATAACTGGGGCTCAGCTGTCCTTGCCCCAATTCACTTAAACCTCTTCCAAGCAGGCTTAGCATTTATGCTAACGTCTTTTGTTCTGACAGACGTAACACCAAGCCCACAAACTGCTTCGTAAAATAGCCATAAAGGGCTATACTCTCTGCCCAAAGGGTGCTTATACTACAGCTGGAGCCGAATAAAACCTCTCATGTGCAAACACAAAACCATGCCTTAGACACAACATCAGAAACTCTTTCAGCAACAAAGAGCAGGCGGCCCGAACTATTTCATAAAAGCAAAGCCACCGGGAGCCCCTTCTCACGCGCGGCGCCAGTCTTTGCGGCGGCAGGCGCTGCTCTAGCAGACTCCTCCTCCCTGCGGGCAGCCGGGGCCCTGGTGGGCATCGCGCCGGGCACGGGCT